GAATCTCATGAGGAGAGAGAGGCAGAGAGAGAGAGAGAGAGAGAGAGAGCAGAATTTGAGTCAAAAATAGTCGAAGAAATACCGAAAAATCCAAAGAAGTTATGCTAGTGTGTGAATAGGGCAAAACGTAATCCGGACTCTATTCCCTGTCTCAAGACTTATCAGGGAAACAACTTAACCGATAAACCTATGTATTTTTTCAGTCTATGTCTGTAAATCCGGCTTTCAAATGCTATGCCTATCTCCTTTATATATACTGGATTATATTATAGGCACTGTATCCTCCCAGTTGGAAGGTGGTGCACAAGCGCGTGGGTCTAAAAGAAGTGTTAAAATCTGTAGGCCATTGTCCCTAGCATAGATAGTTCCAGAAATATAGAGGGAGCGCCAAAAAGCTACCTTAAATTCCCGTAAAAATGATGCTGTCGTTGGCATTCAACGCGGTTTTTGATGAAATGATTCCTGTTTGACCAATATTTTCTATGTAAACAAACGCTGATATTGTGCACTATACGAAGATACAGGTGTCAGTCTCGTTTATTTTGACGTCGAGAAGACTTTGACAATTCTTCACCTTGTCGGTTGCTCAAGAATGTCTGAAGGTGTAAGATACAAGGAAACCTAATAATCTGGGTGCAGGATTTCGCAGTCGGCCGATGGCAGTATGCGTGCATAGGCAACGTGAAACTAATGACAGTGCCAGTTGAGAGCGCAGTACCCCAGGGTACCTTTTTCACCTTTGTCGTCCTTAAACTACGCAAATGACCGGACTAAGCTGATTCATGTTTGCGGATGACACCAATATACGGCAGGCAATCAAATGCAATAATGATGAGAAAGTCATGCAGGAAGAGTTTTAATCCCAATGCTTAAGGTTTACTTTGAGAAGGGTATTGCCTTGCAGATCACAGCTAAGATGAGCGTAAAGAGCGGCTCCCGCCAGAGATTTATTGACAAAAGACCCCCTGTCAATGTAGATGGATGAAAGAGCCCCAGAATCACCACTTTGCCGCCCGAGGCCTACTCCTCACAGAGTATCAGGGCGGCCAGACCGGCGTTCTCTCCGAATTAGAAACATGCGTTAGATATATAAATTAGGAGCCGTCTAGAAAGTATACGAACGAACATTAACAAAAACGAAACATGTCTGAAAGCGTCACGAGGTAACAAAAGGTGCCCAAATTTTGCAAATGTAGCTGAGAGGCACTAAATGAGGGTTGCATGTGGAGAGCACTACGGAATTATTCTGCGCTCCAACTAGAACAATTTCGACTTGGATACCATTCCACAGTTACAGTCTCTGACATTGATACTGGAACCGTACGTACAGACTAACTTTGTGCATTTTTGGAATATTTTTTCATGCATCGAAAATCGCCTGGAACCTGGATTAAGTGCAATTTGTTTATCAGCACGGTCCAACTGACAACGCAACGGGCTACGCAACCGATTCACGGTATACAGCCTAGAAAACCAATCGCTCAAAATCCTTCAAGGTCTGCAGTTATTCAAGTCCCACGAGATCAGGAAAGGGCTAAGTCGCTTCTGATTAAATTCAACAAAATTTATCGGATTTTAAGTATTTTTTCGCTTATTGAGTTTTGATTACTCACTTTAATTCATCATATATAAGCCGACGTATTCCTTATAACATCGAAAGCGATATTATACCTATTATATCACGTCGAAGTTTATGGATTCTCAGCAGGCTAACTGTAGTAGTACGGCCAGCGACGGCAACTCTTTGGAAGATAAGTCCGGTGAGTTGTCCTTCGCATCCAGACCCTGTGCTCGCTCTACCTTCGCCTCCAGCCAACGACCAGCAAAGTGTGCAAAAAGCGTAAATACCGCAAAAAGTGTGAGGTACGAAGACGAGCCTTGTGCTGGGTGCGCAGATATTCAAATCAAAGTAGAACAACTGGAAAAGGAGCTTGCTGATTTAAGGACGCTCGTGAAACAGACCGTAGTCGGCCAGAACGTGTCCAGTGTTAGAATCCCAAAAGCGAAGAGCAAAACGCAAAAAACGCGAAAAAATATCTCCTCGGGGGAATCTTCAAACACGAGTAGCAACTCAACAGCCAAAACCGCAGACGCCGGTAACAGCAGGACAATTACAACGAAGCCGCCGATAAAGGGAGACTCGATTCCCACGCACGATGTCTTAAGCGATGTCGCAAAAAAATTACCTATCGCGGAATCCATCTCACCTAAGCCTCTTGCTGTAAGTGATGGGATTTCTGTTCTGCCTGGAGACGATATACCTGGGTCATCCAGTCTACTGCTGCCCTCTTGTTCTGGCAACCACCCCGAGCGCACTACAGAGCACGCATCTGAATGTGAAGACATAAACCAGTGGGTAGAGGGGAGAGGGAAACGCCATGACAGGATTTTGAAGTCCCAGCCAGCCCTGATGGGTCGCTCGGGACAGTCGGTAGACAGTAAAAGTGTGCGTCCAAGCGATGACTCCGTAAATCGTCCTCGCCCACATGCAGCGCATTCACCGGAAAGACAGAGTAAGGAGGACCATGCTCGCCAGCAGTGTCTGGTTATTCAGGGTTTGTCAGAATCAAATGCAGTCAGACCTGAAGACCGTGTCTCAGAGGACCTTGCTTCTTTTCATGATCTGCTAAATCATTTACTGCCGGCAGACATGGAAATAAAGGTTCTGAAAGCATTCCGGATAGGAAAAAGGAGTGAAGACAGGACAGTAGCACAACCACCTCGCCCTCTCAAAATTATGCTGGAGAGCAAAGAGCAAATCAAGTTTATCCTCTCTAAAAAACCGATCTCAGATACACACACAAACAGGTTTTTTTTCAACCGGACTATTCACCAGCGGAACGGTTGAAACGCCGGGAACTTGTCTTGGAGTTAAAATCAAGACTGAAGTATGGCGAACACAATCTGGCTATCTTCAAGGGGAAGGTAGTTCGGAAATATATGCCGTTTCAGTGGAACCAGCCTGTAATACTGCGAACGACGACAGCTACTCAGCTAAAACAGACACCTTCGTTGAAACACCTGATCAAGGCGCCAACACAAGTGAGCCCGTAGCGTCCAGTGATCTGACTAAAACAAGGCATGTAAATGGAACCAATCAGGTAACGGAAGAGCCTAGAGAACACGACGTCAGCGATAACGGAGTAATGCTCACAGCAGTAACAAATGCAACGGGAAATTCGGCTGGTGCTAAACTGAGGTGCTTGTACACGAATGCCCAAAGCCTCATATCGAAACTAGACGAACTAAAACTTTGCCTTGTTGAGGTGTCTCCAGATGTTTTAGCAGTAACTGAGACCTGGCTGTCCGGGAATATTAGTGATAACGAAGTAGCCTTGCCTGGATACCAAATTTATCGGAGGGACAGGGAACATCGTCAGGGTGGTGGTATCGTTGTGTATGTGAATGAAGGTCTGGCACTGTCGGATAACACCACCAAGTTTGCGTGCAGTACGGAAGCTATCTGGTTGACCATCAAGGCTACCGGTTCCGCCTGTCTCGATGTCCTTACTGTCTACCGACCACCTAGGACAGATCAAATCGCCGACGCTCAACTATTAGAGCAGTTGGAGAAATTTTCCAGTCGACCTAACATCATGATCATGGGCGACTTTAACGCATCAGGAACAAACTGGAATACCCTCCAAGCGTCAGGTCCAAAATCGGCATTCAATTACCGCCTGTTGAGCAAGACATTAAATGCGTGCCTCACACAACATGTAATGTTCCCAACGAGAACACGTGAAGGAAAAAGGGCAAACTGCCTGGATCTGGTCTTTACGAAAACACCAGACAGCATAGACGAGATCGCCTCCATGCCGCCCCTTGGCCGAAGTGACCGCGTAGTGCTTATGTGGGATTATTCGTTATTCTCCATTTCACACACTCCAGACCACAAAAGGCGTAATGTTTGGCGGGGCGAATTCAATCAGATGAGGGCAGACTTATCCGGTCTTGACTGGGGCTCATTGTTTACGGGAAGTGCCAACGATGACTGAGAACTGTTCCAGAATGTCCTTCTGCAGCTCATCAACAACCACTGCCCACTGACTAGTGTAAGACCGAACAAACGCCCTGGGTGGCTAAATAGCAACCTCAAGAAAGAAATCAACAGGAAGCACAAATTGTGGAGAAAATACTGCGTCACTAGACAAGCTGAATGCTTCAACACCTACAAGACACAGAGGAACAAACTGAGGAAGCTGATAATGCAGACGCGGCGGGAATTCGAGAAGAACTTGCTACAAAAAGCAACGCAGAACCCAAAATTGCTCTACAGCTACCTCCGACGAACTACAAGGAACAGGCATCAAATCCCCTTGATAAAGACTACTGATGGCGTTGATATCGCTGATAGTAGGGATAAAGCTGCGTATTTTTCACGGTTTTTCCAATCAGTCTACACAAACGAGGCAAGGTTCCTTCCTCCCTCCACAGAAGAACTGCCGACTCCAAACGTCAGTAATATACTCTTCTCAGAAGGCATTGTCCGAAGAGAATTAGAGGCATTGAACGAATCGAAGTCGCCAGGACCAGACGAGATTACATCCAAGCTTCTGAAGGAACTTGCCCGTGAGCTTTCTGTGCCTTTGTCGATGCTCTTTCAAACGTCATTTGACACTGGAACACTTCCTATCGATTGGAAGCTGGCGCATATTACTCCGCTACACAAAGGAGGTAACAGGGCAGCGACGACAAATTACCGGCCCATAAGCTTGACATGCATTCTCTGCAAAGTTATGGAAAGGATCATAAAGACTGAACTTATGCAATTCCTAGAAGTTCACGGCCTGCTATCGAAATGCCAACTTGGGTTCCGAAAAGGAAGATCCTGCACGACAAACCTGCTGCAATCTCTCCAGAGCTGGACCCGAGCTCTCGACGAGAGGCATGCGGTCCACATAGCCTTCAGCGACTTCCAGAAGGCTTTCGACATTGTGTCACACCAAAGGCTCTTACATAAGCTGAAAAAAGGGGTCGGTGGCAACTTCCATAAATGGATGGAAAACTTCCCTGTGGGTCGACAGCAGGTTGTGTGCGTCGGTCGTGGAAAATCAGATCCGGTTATGATCGATAGTGGTGTCCCCCAGGGTTCAGTACTGGGACCCATTTTGTTCCTTATCTACGTGGACGATGCCGCAAGAGATTTAGACTGTGAAGTAGCAATGTTTGCGGATGACATGAAGATATGGAGTGTAATTCGTGGTCCTGCCGATGAAGACAGAGTGCAGATGAACCTGAATCGGTTGGAGGAGTGGTCAAACCGTTGGCTCCTGCGCTTCAACGTTGCCAAATGTAGCATACTTCGCCTAGGCAACACAGCCAGATCCGCCAGCACAAGAGGCTACTTTCTGGGCGGTGCAGCCCTACAAGAGGTGGAAGCCCAAAAGGACCTCGGTGTGCTTACGACGAGTTCCCTAAAACCATCCGCCCACTGTTCGAAGGTGACAAAAAGCGCAATGTCCGTACTGTACGCCATCAAGCGTGCGTTTATGGACTTTGACGAAGAAGCTTTCTCTAAGACATTCGGAACATTCGTCCGGCCGCATTTAGAGTACGGCATACAAGCTTGGAGGCCGTGGGCTGTTGGGGATCAAAACTGCCTCGAAAGAGTCCAGAGGAGAGCTACGAAGATGGTTAGGGGTCAAAGCTCCTTTCCTTATGCGACCCGCCTAGTAAATCTGAAACTCTTTCCTGTGAGTTACAGGCAACATCGCGGAGATCTCTTGCAAGCCTTCCGCATTGTAAAGGGGTTGGATTGCAGTCTGGCGTTCGAGGACTTTTTTGAATTTGCTACCACGACCAACCTCCGAGGTCACCCGTTAAAACTGCGCACTCAGCAGGCACGGCTGGATGTGCGGAAGTTCTCCTTCTTGGTTCGGGTGGTCAACCCGTGGAATGAGCTTCCCGCAGATGTTGTGATGTCACCATCTATACGAGGTTTTAAGAAGAATCTGGACATAATTATGTTCCGAAATGACCAAGAGCGATGAGAAGTCGAGCTCACCCCTTGTAACTCCTTCTCATTTTGTCCCACCATTATGGGCGTGTTCGAACTATTTCAGCCCAGAACATCTATCTGTACACCACACATTTTTTACGTTGCAAATAGGGTACTCAAAGACTTACGCCTATTTCCCTCAATAAACTGAACTGAACTGAACTAATATACCCCTTTCCCCTATATACACTGATCTGAACTACCTCAGGATAAATTACCTCACATTGGGGCGAGGTCAAATATGTTTTCTAAAATTTATTTTGTCGTAGAACGAATGAGCCATCTGCTTGAAGCTACATTGACCTCAAAATTTGTAATAATACTAAAAATAATAATAATAATAGTTTGTGTCTAAACAAAGTAGGTGACAAAACACTTTAAATACATGTGCAGAAATCCCCAAAAAGACGGTTAGCGATTTCATTTGAATGCTGACACAGGACTTTTAACTAGCCGTCTGTGATATACCATGTCAAGTGATTCCCTAAGGCCGAAGACACCGGCTTTGATTGCACTGTCATTGCTACGGCTTATGTTAAGGACACCAGTGAATCCAGCGGAGTTTGAAGCACTTGTTTCACCTCGTAGAGAGCCTGTGTTATCGATGTTTTAAGAGTATGTTTACGAAATAAGAGGCGAATATTTTTGTCTGCGGTGTTCTAAATCATTTTCCGCAATTCAGGAAAGAAACTATCTGGGTGAAGAGTCGCAAATAGCGCAATAGAAATCATTATGTCTTGAGGGGTTGACTAGATCGTATTATAGATCATCTGTGCTTCTTCATGAGCAGGACGTGCAGGGTTGTCACCAAGCTGAAGTAAGAATGTTTAAAGAATGTAAAAAATTATTCTGAAATTGGAATTATACTAGACCGTGGCTGAGAAAGCTAAATTTATGTCCTCATTGAAGTAATAATTTAAGTTCTCCAGCTAGAACCAAACTGCAAGGGTGAAACTTTGTGTGTTTATCTAGTCGGAAAGATGAAACGTTGAATCTAACTGCCAGAAAAATTTAGTTTTTCCCCATTTTCCCTGATGTCAAGACAGTTCCTACTGAATGTAATTAGCAACTGACCATTTTTTAGGTTCAAAATGCACTTTGCACAATTGTACGGTTTACTTCAGACAGTTTGAACTAGTTTATTTCCCTACAGAGTCCGATTTCGCGTTAGCAAAGCTCGGACCTTCCTATTATCTCGTGAATAAAGGAATAAGCGGCAAAAGTTTGAATTCAGTATCAGTTACGTTAGAAATTATGAAAGAATCAATTGTTTACCCCTTTGCAGGGTATTGTTTTGAACATTTTATGTACAGTACGGGCTCCCTGAATTCTCCTGGGCACTATCAATTTTAGGAGGTTTTGCTCTGCCTGGCCCAAAAATCGTCATTTTTTCTGAAAATTTCCAATTTGGAATTTGTAGCCACTTCTATCATAAGTAACATATGAGGAATTTTTAGTCGCCTGCATACGTGAAAAACCGTTCCTTCCTTACATAAATCAACTTTCCGATTTCATTTCACATATGGCTGCTCATGCAGAACATTGCTGTCAATGCTGCCTATATCTTACCCTTGAAGTCAATGTTGACTTTGTTTTGACAGTACCATCCAGGGGCTTAAAAATGAAATCATCATGAAATTATTACTAATTCATTCATTGCTATGGCTCATGTAAGAGATAAACAAGCCCATTTGCAGCACGTCAAAATCGCCACGAACCTTTGTTTCTCCGAGAAGTAGATACTGCATCGCAAAGTAACTAGACATGCACCGCCTTCGAAGAATGTTGCTCATTCACATGACAGATACTCCACTTTTACGTAAATGGACTTTATGGTTAACAGTGAAAGGAATTTTGAGTCACCATAGACTGAATAGTATTATTTGGCATGTTTTATGGAAGTCCGGTTCATGTGAGATTTTTTCGGTTAGTAAATGGGAGTAGTTCCGATTGCCTCCGTTACTCATGCCCGGCTGCAAATTTAGACAAATAAAGTGCTAGTCAAAAGTCCTTTTCTAATCGTTTTCCAGAGTGTCACTGATTAAAATTCCTGAAATATAACGCTTCCACTGCCTGTTTCCTGTTTCATCTTTGAACTATTCGACCGCTTGAGCGCTTTTCCCAATGGATTTCATTAAATTATCTCCACTGCCCACCTTTCTTTCCAAACTGGTGCAATTCTTTGTCAAAAGGGTACTGTCATTATTTTTACTGTTTGTTATTTATGTATAGTTTTCCTCAGGAACATGAGTTTGTACTTTGTCAGCGCTGAACGTAACTGTCGACGAACAAGGTAACTGGGGGATTTGTTGAGTTCCCAGAGAAGAGGAAATGTGTATGTACGAAGAAGGGAAGTGGCGAGCTCATGGGAAAAGTCGTCGCAAATGAACAGGAAGAGGAAAGACAGTCCGATTATGAGGTCTTATTTGATTGTACTCACGCCGTAAGAGCAATAGCTAAAAGAAGTTGTATTCATAATACCCAGAGAGTCACAGAGCCGTTTCACAGCTTAAACCCTTGAATCCCATACTGTTCGGACGAAACAGATCAAGAATTTAAACACTCTGTTAGTTCATGGCGCAGTCCTAAGGACGGCATCAAGCAGGGTAAATTGGGTCAAGAGTGGTGCCGATGGCTGGGTTTACAGCAGGTGGCTCAGTATGTTCTGTCATCAAGAAAAAAACCAGGAAGCAATTTGCTTGCGGTACTTTTCCCACAGGGTGGTCTGTGCTAGGACCGTACATATGCTACGTATACCGCAAAACCAAACGGCATTATGAATGACCTGTATTAAGCTAAAAGACGAACGACCGCTCGGACGGGTCCATGGCCCGCCTAAGCCCTTTTTTCCTCGTGCTTCGTACGAAGTCATCTGTTAGCAGGGTAGTTCATTTGAGGGTGCCAATACATGACATTTCCTCCCACACAACGCACCAGGATCTTAAACAAAGGGGATTGGCGGCTAGGATTTTGTATGCGCCATGGTGCCACAGAGGTCAGATGAAGAAAGGACTAGAGATCATGCTGCCCACCAAGGTGGGAGGCGCCCAGTTCGGGCCTTCGCTTGGCGATGAGATGCGGGTTCGTAGGTGTTGGATGTGTTGGGGGGGGGGGATGTGTGATGATGGAGCTTGCTCTGTTGTGATTCGCTGCAGATAAGCTTGAAGGCGCATGTGTTCGGGTATGCCCATATGGTGACTGAATGAGTGTGGGCAGTGCAGGCAGTTGAGGTAATTCAGAAGACGTAGATGCGATCACAGGAACAAGAAATTAATTGGCCCGACGTTTCGGATTCTCACTCGAATCCATCATCAGACACATTCGCAGACAAAGGTGATGGTGGCAAAAGGTGTGCAGTATTCATAGCTAAGGTAATGTAGTTGAGGTGATGGCGACGAGTGTATGTTGGTACCCCTGAAACCGGTTCGTCAGTCTCAGAGCGATGGGTTCGCAAGTGACCAATCAGGCAGATCAGCGAGCTGGGTGGGAACGGTTGCAATGACTTCAAGCTGGGATCGAGTCAATAATGCTGGTGGTGAGTGCGGTAGGGCCGATTGTGGTGGCTGACAGACGTCGGGACTGGTCTCGCCAGTGGTCGGAGTTGGAAGTATAGTAGTCGTTGTCGTCGTTGTCCCGGGGTTGTGTCAAGGATAAAGACTTTGGAGATGGTAACGACGAAGTTTGCTGAGACGTCCGGACGTCAGGAGTGTGATCGGCGGTGGTGGTGATTGTGGTTGACGTCGTAGACGCCATGAGGCTGGGTTCAGGAGTTATGAGGGAGGCTGAGACAGCAAGTGGGATTGTCTGGTTGTTGGTGTTACATTGGGTCCGAGGTGTCCGATGGGACCGATGTGCGTGCAGAATGTTTTTAGCACTGTGAGCATGTTGGAAGTGTTTGTATATTAGCGATGTAAGTAGCAGGTGCCCGGGGCTTGCGAACAGCTTTTTTGGCTCTGTAGGTTAGTGCTCTTGCCTTCACTGTTATTCTCCAGGCTAGTCGGTCATGAGTGGTCTGGGTTTATTGTCAGTTGTTTGAGTGAAGTATCCAAGGTGTCATTTTTTCCGCCGTATATGTCCGCCTTGTCGGCGAACGCTCGTAGAAACATCGCCACAGAAGAGTCGTTTGGGCAGACACTCGTTATCCATTCCTGTCTGGTGACCACTCAACGCGGTCGCATTTGCCCCAGCGTGATGTGGACATTGCACATTCCGCTGTGCTCGAGGACTTCCATATCCGGGATCCTGCCTTACCGTCGCAACTTCAGTAATCTTCCGAAGTTACTGAGAAGGAGGTGATTTAATTTCCCTACCCGTTTCTCGCAGAGTGTCTAGTTCTGCGTTCCACTCATCAATGTTACAAAGACGACAGCTTCTTGCTTCTTACGTTTTATGTTAAGATGGAGGCCATGGCAACCGCACATCGGGAGTTGCAGCCAGCCGAAAGTGTGACTGACTTTGGAGACCCTTTGCGCAACTTCGTCGGGGATTTTGGTGCTGTGTGAGAGTGTACTGCCTAAATAAGTGAATTTGTCCACTGTTTTGATTTGATTGCCGTTGAGAGCGACGCGAGAGTCGATGTATTAGGTATTGGGTGGGGGTTGGCGCATGATCACCGCCTTACCCGTGTTGATTGTCAGTCTAAACGTTGCTCAGCCGGAGGCCAGGAGCTCATGCTTCTTCGTATGGCTGCCTCTGTCGTGGAATGGACAGTGGTTGTTGATGTTCACAGGGATGCTTGCATTCGTCGGATCTTGAGAAGCCTGCTATCGGTCCTGTAGACGATGCATGTCCCGCGACTCTCATTGCAGTATGTTTCCAGCACTATGGTAGAGAATATGAGAGTGAGGAGACTTGGGGCGAGTACTCAGAACTTTTCGCTCCACTTCTCACTACGAATGCTCCTAGAATTGTCCTTTTGTACGTGATGTGTGCCATCGTACCTTCGTGGAGTTCAGTCAGTCAGTGTATTCGAGGACAATAGGCTCACGCCGT